GACTTGAACTTGAGATCTTGCGTTTATCGTTTTTTTCTTTTTTATTCCTATGACTGGGGTCAGCGAACGTTTTCTTATGTTCTTAAGATCATGAAGAAAAATATTTGAATGTATTGAAATTTTCATATGTTTATAACTTGTTTGTAAATAAAATTTGGAAATTGTGTTTATTTCATACTAAGCTATCAACATTTAAATATAAAACAAACCTCATTATCTTCCCCGTAGCAGCAAACCTAAGTAATAACTAAAATTAATGATTTAAATAGAAAATAAATATGACAATTTTATGGGACTTTTTTAGTGGAAATCAAGGCATGTACTGTAAATGGAAATTTGCTTATTCTACAGGTTTGCCTACAGGGTTGTCTTATAGGGACAACACACTGCTTGACACATAACAGACGCTTTAAAATAGTAGAACTGTGAAATCTCAAAGATGGATTAATACCAGATGAAATCACCCCAAATGTGTGATATCCACAAAAGTAAGATTGTTCATTTAAATTCCTGGATCTTAAAATCCCTTAAACCACTGAATACATTAAAGTACGCAATCAAACGATGGAAGTATAAATCGCTCTACACTAAGTATCGTTAGTAACAAGAGCAATATAAGTTTGTATCTTCAATTATTGAAAAGCTGTTGACCTTTGTGACCTCATTAGTACGCCTACATTAGTTATTGATCAACGCACGGACGCACTACTGAGCAGGGTGTGCCGATATATACCAAGATAAACAACATAACGAAGTCAGCCGCGACAGGGCCTCATTATGTTGCTATGGTGCTAAGTGTCAGCTTGATCCTAGATTTTAAATAATGAATTTGTATTTTTCAGTTTTCTTCTTTGAACAAAAGAATGTTGTAGTAGTCATAATGGTAAGAAATAATTCCAATACATGAAAATTTTATGTGTTTGTATTTTTCACAAAATTATCCTGTGGCTATTTCTGTAGTCAACTTGTATAGTAAAACCAAAGTCTGAGGCTACAGTACTGTACTCTTATGCATACAGTATATATGAATCGGTAGTAGCGTGGAGGGTTTTATAGAGTAGTGGCTATTTCTGTAGTCTTACTAGTGGAAATAAAACCCAGGACCACTGTTACGTATTTATATATCTCTAGGTAGTAAATGTTCATCGTTTTTATCAATGATTATTCAACGTATAAAGTAAAATGATTTTAATTGAATTTGCAGCTTTAGCCCATTTGGGCTAGTAGTGCAGGAAAATAGTGTTGGATTCAAGAATTTTAATTTATCAGGCTGAAAATCGGTGGAAATGTTGTACGTACAGCTGGGAGCATCATACTAAAATTCCCAAAAAATCCCACTTGGGCAACATCCCGCCATCTTGGAAAATGGCCGCCATAATGGATTTCCCTCCTTGTGTCACATATTCAAGCATAAAACCACTCCTAATTGTGATAAAAACGTGCAGTTTCTTCAAAGTTATTTGTCAGGATGTAATTAAAATTAGAGCCATTATATATAGTTATAAGAATTAGACAAAAATAATTGGAGGCTAATACTGGTCTTGCATTCAAAATTGATTTAAGACCTCTTTTACTCATCGGGGAAAAACTTCTCTGATTAAATCTTATAGAACAAGTCAAGGCACACAAGAATATGTAATTATATTTGTTTTTGGTCTATATGTATGCCGTCATATTGACGCTGGACATGTGATTGCAGCCTACGTTTTAGACAGCATCATGTTGGTGACTGTAATACAATTCTGTGAATGGAATTAAATTACTAATAGTAAATAAACAGTTGTGTTACTATTACTTTTATAACAAACTTTTATTTGATACATAATATTTTTCTTTTTTATATAAACTCCAAAAAACTAAATATATTCTGTTAGACAATTGATAAGTTGGTGAGTTATAAAAACTATTTTCTTTGATGTGACTTTTTCCTCTTGCTGCAAAGTGGAATGAAATAATTTGCATGTCGGTTGTGTTGACTTTCCGGTCAGAACGGGACTGGGTTGGTAAATCAGGTACATTAATGTCCAATTTTTCATTTAGTACAGATGTGGCATTGATCCTGTTACCACAACCGTTGGTGCAATAGTTACACAATCGTGATCAAGATAACCAATTTTCAGACATCCACAACCCCTGTTACATCCAGTCTTACATGCACATCTAATCAAGTTGAGGAGGTTGTCAGGTAAAGGGGCATTGAAGTAGGAATTTGGGTAAATGTACCTATTTCGTTCTTTTTCCATCCCCACTCTGTAGGTGGAAGAGAAACCCCTAGCCATTCTTGAACCTGGTGATACACTCTAAGGTGTACAAATTAAAAGTCAAGACGTTTTGATATTACTTTCAGGTACTGTTTATATTGAGTTCTTTTGAGTCCCTGACCGCTTTTTCTTCCAAAAAGGCTACAATATATAAGGCTACAAGAAATTCCTCATTTGTAATTTCTTCAGAACATTGAAGGCTTGTATCTTCCCTTTTCTGTAGGTCGCTGACGTGGTATCACAACCGGACAAAGAATGCAGGAAAAGAAGATGCTCGTTGACATTGTCCATACTATTTTGCAGTGCTGTGGATGAAAATATCTTTTGCTAATGAGCTTTTGAAAGTGGAATGAGCATTGAGATATTTTTGTCAGGGTCAGTAAGGGTCAATTACAGGACGAATGCCTCAGTGTTCTTTCCAACAATTGCAGAGTTTTTTCTTTATTGGCTAGTAGGATGGCGGTTTGGACAATTAGACGGTCTGCATAAGCTTTTGCATGGACCGCTTGTATTCAGTTTCTGTTTGGATGGCTTACTAATTGATCAATGAGCCTTGTTTCATTGGTTGCGTTGGCTAAGAATGGATGCTGCTGGAATACCACTTGCACATCAGAACCAACAAGAACTTCGGCAGATGTCGCTTTAAACGTTCGCCTAACGTGTTCTACATCCTTCATAGTACTTTCCTGGAATCCGTCGAAAACAACAATGACTTTATTTACGTAATGTTTTACTATGTATGTCTGGTACGCCTTACAAAAATGTCAGAGAAAATAGCCGGTTTTGGCCAGACTACCCTGTGAAGAAGATACCCACCATCTATCACAAAGTTTGGAGCTAGTGGAAGACAATCCGTAGGAGGACACAATTTATCCCTCATGGTCCTTAACGCAGCCTTATTGGTTTTTCTAATGGTCACATCGTTGAATAATGCTGGTGGTAATGGTGCCAACTCGTAATACAAAAACATGTCTACAACTGTTAATCATTACGGACAAGACACATGATTTGATAGAATAGCTAATCTAATTGGAATATTACCCGGCACATTTCCCATGGCTAAATGTGACTGTATCTTGTCTGATCTCCTAAAGGGTTTTTAATGTGGAAACATATCCCCTTACTTCAACATGCTGCATGCGAACTCGTTCCATTTACAGCATTCTATTACAGTCTCCACCACGACGCGGTCTAAAACTTAGGCTGCAAACGCACGTTCAACTTCAATATGACGGTATACTTATAGACCAAAAACAAATATAATTACATTTTCATGTGCGTATTGACCTGTTCCAAAAAATTTATACTGGTTAGTTTTCCCCCCAACGAGTAAAAGAGGTCTTAAATCAATTTTGAATGCAAGACTACTATTACCCTTCAATTATTCTTTTGTTATTTTTTGCATGAAAATGTTAAATTACTATACACAATTATTTACATTCGCTCTAAATATTTGAATTACATCCCGACGGATAATTTTGAAGAAACTGCACGTTTTTATCACAATTAGGAGTGGTTTTATGCTTGAATATGTGAAACAAGGGGGTGGAAATCCATTATGGCGGCCATTTTCCAGGATGGCGGCATGTTGCCCAAGTGGGATTTTTTGGGAATTTTAGTATGATGTTCCCAGCTGTATGTACGACATCTCCACCAATTTTCAGCCTGATAAATTAAAATTCCACTATTAGGCTAAATTTTACACTTTTTTCCTGCACTATAGGAGGAGGGTTGTTCGTTCTTTCCGATAGTAAAAGAAGGGCAGCACGTTTAAAACTAATGTTTGAGGTTTCACTCAAAGAACTTGACATTACGCCAGTATTTTGATCCTGATTAGTAAAATACAGGTCCTTCTCTCAGATGTGAAAGCATATAGTTTTAAAACATTAAAAGAACGATACAAAAACCCACTCTAAGCCTTGGAAACACAACAAAACCACCCACAGAAGAGTATAGTAATTGAACAGAAATAAAAATGGCGAGTTTCCTTATTTTATGGTATATTTGATAAAATTCATCTAAATAAATAATATAATGTATTTTTCTTTGTGGCAGCAAACCTAACCCCTCATTTAACTTCTAAGAGTTGTTTTTTTGTCATTTGTCCAAGTACGTATTGTTATATGCTTTGGTCCTATTTTGATAAGAATTTAATTAACTACGATTTCCCTTAGTACGCCACGCTGCTTTAACATCTGTATTTGTATTTATTTGGCTGTTGTATAAATATATACGCACTACTGAGCAGGGTGTGCCGATATATACCAAGATAAACAACATAACGAAGTCAGCCGCGACAGGGCCTCATTATGTTTAAAATTTTAAGGGGAGTGTTTGGAATACCAAACACTCCCCTTAAAATTTTGTTTTGCTTAGCTCAATTCTAGTACTCTGTTTTAAAATATCATAATATACTTTACACAGCAATGCAATTTCAACATGAATTTTTTCTTAACTTGATCTTTTAACAGTATTTTAGAACCAAATTAACACATATTTTATTAAAATACGATTCATGCCCTGCCTATATCCAACAAAAACAAACAGAATAATTTGAACTCTCTACCACCATGTCTTCATAGTGTTCGTTGCCTTCTGAAATTTAAACAGCCTTCCTCAAACCTGTAAAGGATCAAAAGGTATAGAGATGTATTTAGCCCATGAATGGTTACTGAACAGGATCGAAGTTAGGGGCCGAGCGGCGCAGACTCCAAGTTGGTGTTACTCTCAGTCGTTCCCCAGCCTCACCCGACGACCCTCAACCTTTTAGGAACATCTCCCAGTTGTATTCTGGACTCGGTGTGCGTCATAAGCAAGGTAGGGCGTCATCTTTCAAAATACCACCCTTAAGTTTGAGAGTGAGAATGGTCTCAATTATCACCACCCTTTACTGAATGTTGTCGTGTGTGGTGCCGGACGTAAACAACTAGTTGCATAGATCGATCCAGTGACTCGCGAGTAAGCATTCGATATTCACTTATAATTCATGCCTTGTGTCTCGTAGCTATAACTTTGTAGGGAAGCTACAAACACGAGGCATGCATTAAATTATACATAAACCTAAAATCTCTTTTGACGATTTTCACGTTTAAATGTATTTATTCTGTTTTATTACAAGTTTTGTAACTAAATATTCCTACAGGTTGAATCTACTTTACTAGGTTACTTTCTACTAGGTTAAATAACAGTTCCGGTTATCAGTACTAAATATGCGTTGAACTAAATTATTACTTGTAACTTTAAATTGTTAAGTGTTGAGTCTGTATGAATAATTTGTTGTGTAACCAAATTGTATACAAATATATATATATATATGCGAAATAAACCCGGCCCCAGCTTAGAATGAAATATATTATATTTGAGGATATATATATTTCACTATAATAAGATAAAGACGGTACAACTTAAAATACTTGTGTCATGAAAATCAAATGTTACATAATATTGTTTCATGGCGTCAATCATTATCGACTTTTGTTGTTTAGTAGATTAAGATAATTTTATATTTTGATTGGGTGGTTAAAAATATATTATTCAGTCTAATAAGTATAGTTTGATTATAAGCACAATTTGATTTTAAACACATTGAAATAATTAATAGTCTACACAAATCTATTAAGTGAGCTCCCACCTAACAATATCTGCACAAGAGCTTTCCAAAAAGTGGCTTCTTCAAACTATTGAATGTTTATTTTTAAATGTGTAACATCTTTTAGCTTGACTATTATTAGCTCTATATTACGTAGTTGGGTTTACTAAATTGTGTAATGTCATTTTGAGACTTAGTGTATGATTCTGTCTAATAACTTGTCATATTTACACAATTTACATCTAGAACACTATTACTACCTAATGCATATTCATACCTACCTATCTATTTATCAAATGTTTACTACTACACAGTGGATTGGCATAAAATATAACAAAATATAATAATAAAATATAACTGCATCATATCCTAATACTATAGGATTACGCTATGTAAATTTACTGTAGCAAAAATAATATCATTCAATAGAACATGAACATTTTACGATGATATTATTTTAGATCTTCAGCAATAATTTTAGCAAAGTATACTTTGATAGTAGATTTTATGCTACGCAACAGGTGTGTTCGGGTTTTTTAATTGAATTTTTTATGTAAATAAATAAATACAAATTGTCAAACCTTTTTATAATGGATCTAAAATACACTTTTCTACTTTATACTACTTAACACAGCAGGCACGGAAATCGTTTTAATTTTTGTTACAACTCTATGAAACAGTCGTTATGAACAATGACAAGCTTTTTTGCGTTAAATACCTTATTCAGATATTGAAGTGGCAAAATACCTTAAAACCATGCATGGCGATAATTAAAAACTAATTCAATTGACAGTGTAATTGAAGCAGTTATTCCCACTGACCATCTTGTGTAGAGTGGAATATCTCGGCATTACTTTTAATTATTTTCAACCAAATTCTATTGAGAGTGGATTTTATTTATTGTTTATTTATGGTGGACTCATATCAACTTTTACTTAAACAATAGATTCGATTAAAAAAGCTAGATAAGCTCAAAATAGAAAGTGGTCATAGAAGGCCTACTTTATTAATTTTTTTACATATTTCATTTCGTTAATGAATAAGACTAATGACTATGCTATGCAATAACCTGGTCGTTCACTTGACCATAATTTAGTATTCATGTTTTCTTTACTTCATTGGCCATTGCCAAAAAGCTGATAAATTATAAATAGTTGCATTGTTGTTTACAAGGTTTAATCTTATTGGCTACCAACTTATGAGCTTTATGTTTTCATCTTTTGACAGTGTTTCTTGGTACTTGTAATTTGAGTTGCGTTTAAAAACACCCTGTATATAGGTCTGCATAGCGAGGAGAACCATTTTAATATTGCAGATATTTCCACACGAAAAAATGTCATATATTTTAAATTGGGGTTAGTTAATGACAAAATATTATTTTTCCTTCTAATAAACGGGATTAAGTAATTATAGTTACTCGCAAAATGGTACATTGAACAACAAAACAAAACAAAAGGTAATCTTTTTTTTACTTTTACAAATCTTGTTCAATACAGCTGTATTTAAGGTAGTTGAAGCGTAGGCTACATTTTAAATTGGCTTTGCTCTTTGAGGCGTGCAGCAAAGAAAGACGAATAGATCCTTTGTTTAGGAGAAATCGTTGTCAACCACCAAATATCACTCCCCCACAGCCATCCACTTTTACAAAATAACGTATTCTCTAGATTTTCTCAATCTACAACCCACGGGAATATCAAATATTCATTATCTAAAATGTATTTAGTATCTTTTACATTACAATTATTACACCGATACATTTTAATGGCGGCACCGATACGTTAACGAACGACATCGATACCATGGATTCCTAATTCATCGAAATACCTACTCACCAACAACAATTATTGGACAACAAAATATTGACCTATGTATGTTATTCAGAGAGCAAAAAGAATTTTCATGGATATATGAGTGCATATAACTGTGTAATAATGCGATTGTATTAGTGAATGTAATTAAAACAAATTCAGTATTACATTTTATTTATTTATAACCAGTAAAACACCATAAGTTATATTGCTTGGTTAACTCCTTTAGATTTTTAACAATCACTCTTGGTTCACTCTTGGTTCAGTTTCATTAATTTAAATCATCCTGTGAGAATAACTAGTTTACGATTGGTTAAATTAATTTTGAATTTCCAAAATTCTACAAATGGTGAATAAAACACCTTAGCTTATTTCTAGAATGGCACAACTGCTTAGCTCGGATTAAATACTTAACACTCAATAGCTGAACGGGTGTGTAAATAAATTGCTATTACGAACTTGAAGCACTATTATTAACAAATCATCCAATATATAGTTGTTACATGTTTAGGATCACAGTAATCGAAAACAATTACGCAATGAAGGAACAAGTGGAAATGTGAAACTCTGTTCACAAACTTGGTTTGGAAACAATCTTCTTTGCTCCAAGAAATTCACTGTTCACGTTATGTATAAGTGTTTAATAATTATCACTTATCAGTATCATTTAATGCAGCAACAAATAACAAATCTTGGCTCTTCTTAGGCTAGAGAGGAGATTAATTATGACTGAACTAGTGTGAAGTAAACATCTAATTGCCTAGCTGGAGTTGTAGTCAAAATGGAAAATAGAAAATAGTAATTGAAATTATAAAGCTTAAATGTGTCTCCCACAGTTATCGTCTGTCTCATTTTGAAAGAATATATTATATATTTAAACATTTGAACGAGTGTCTAGAGACATCAAAATGAGAAAGTATATCGCTCCCGGCTCTAGGTCTTGCCGTGACACCTATGGTGGTAGTGGCTACTTCCCTATAGGGAATTTCATTTTCTAGGCCTACGTACATTTAAAATAACCCTTTATAATCATGAAATTTTATATGGCCTGTTTCCATATCTTCTAATAGTATATTTCACTAGGCCTTAATCCCCAAAATTGACTCTTCTCGACCAGAGTCCAATGTTGTACGAAAAGTACCAGCTTTTATTAAGATGTTTTTAAAAATAAGCTAAATATACATTTTTGTTTATTTCGCTTAGCTTAACTAATTTTTGATACTTTCCAATATTTAGATTTCGACAAAAATAATCCCATAAAATGTATACTTAAATCATATATACTTGTCCTTTCTTAAATTATACAACTTTTGGTCAAGTTGCAAGCCAAAAGCTTGAATAGTTATAATTTTGAAGAGCTGTCGAACACGAGAAATTATTTTTGTATCTTGATTTTTTTTCGGAAATATTATATTTTTCAATGAATTTCTCCCAGTTATACACAACATGTTTGCTCAAAATAGTAACGAAATTTCTTTACAATTTAAAGTCCTATCTAGAAATGCAATTTTTATCAAATTATTTTGCCAATTTTTCAATCTAGAGGTCGAAATGTTCAACGGATACACTGAAACCTTAAAAAACCTACTTTTACGTATACATAGAAAAGAAAGAGTTTAGAAACTATGCTTATAGGACGTTTTTATCCAAGGAATCATTTCCCGAAGTTTGTCAGGGTTCCCGAGAAACGCCCTGTATAAGCTAACTAATTCAAACAACAAAAATGTATAGACTATTATAATTTTCAAAAGCTAGCTCTTGAAAATTATTTAATTTGCTTGGTTTCAATAAGTATTATACAAACATCAGCTGTTACTAATGTTTGCCTATTTCGTATGTAACATTTGACAATAATTTAGATGCATCAGAGCTTACTCTACGAATCATCCTAAAAAAGAAGAAATAGGTTTTTACATGTTGTAAAATATATAATGTAACTTGGTGATAAACTTAAATAAGTTTTAATATGATATGATAACAAATTTCTTAATCGCAACAGCTTTCTTACTCAACATCTTTTAAACAAGGGAAAAATATACAGCCGATTTCCTGGACTCCAGCTAATATTTTGAATTATCCTGGGTATGAAAACATTACTTTAACTCCATAACGAACTCCTTGAAAGCAGCTATTTTGTTTATGCAAAATATAACTAAAAAAGTAAGCAATATGTTACTGTAAGAAAAACTCTTTTCCTCATGGACAAATGCATAAATAATATGGAATCAAACGTACAGTGAATTTCACACCAGTAAATCTCCGTACGTATTTAGTGGGAAACACGTCGGTTTAAAACATGCTTTCATTACACGAATTTCCATATCTACCCATCCCAACGATTGGAAACAGGGGTTATTGGACTGTGACATCGTGATGCATCCCAATTATTGAGGAAACAAATACTAGAAATTACTAAATTAGTTTGCAATTTCACCCAATATAGCTTTTCCAAGAAAACAAATAGGGAAAAAGGTTTCAATATTGAAAGCCAGTTATCCTCGTTTTCACAAAACTATTATAACCAACAATTTGATATTCATTTGGTTTCTGAACGAAGTCTTATAGATTCGTTATTCTCATTAACAGACAGTAATGGAAACTCAGTTGATGCATTGAAATGTGTTTGAATCACAGCTATACGGAAACAATATTCCAATTGTGATGTACAATCGTCGTATCGGCCTCAGTGGACTAATGATGCAGTAAAGTAAGACATCTCTTCTGATTTGTCATTTTGGAAGTTCTCAATTACTCTTTTCACTAGCCTCGTGAATTTGGACACTGCTTGTAAACTTACCATCATATTGCAGAATCTGTTAAAATTTACATGAATAATAAAACTAAAAGAGTTTATTTGCAATAGCAGACACGTACATGTAAAGTGCAATTACATGTAAAGTGCAGGTTCTGAAAATTTATTTTAAAGGTAATCGACTATAAACCATGCATCAGGAGTAACTCAATACTCAAATGTTGAGATTGTTTAATGTGTACTATAAATTTGAGGCTTTTATTTGAAACATGTTTGATGTTTTGATTTGAAGGCTAAGTAGATAAGGGTCAACACAGCTTATTCAAAACTACCCATTTCTGCAGGAAGGCTACACAAGTAAGTGTTTTACGAAGGTTGACGTTTTGAATTGATTTCTTAAAAATATAAAGGGAAATGCATATTAATACTCGTCTATATTGTTAATTTTAATTTTTTTATTTAGAACCAAGCAATTGCAGCTTAATTAATGTTAACACTCTCAAATACTTCAAATCCAAGAAAGGCTGGTAACGACGAACAGAGCAGTTCATGCTTAATCTTCGGTCGAAACTGTTCACAACTCATCATCTAGAGCCATTTATCAATTTCTTTTGTTCTAATTTTCGAAGGAAATGTTTTTTTATTCGTAAATAAATCTAATATTCAATTTCTTACACTATAAAGTACATGTTCAAAATCGTATGCTATAAGGTAATTTATTAGTTTTAAAGCTATTTAATTTTTTGAAAGAAACCAGTCTGGTTGTTCGAAAGTTGTTACTACCCCGTGTTAACCTATATTCATTTGTGTACGTTCTTGCACCATTATCAACCGATCATAAGAGATTTTTGAGGGGCTTGTAGCCCCATAAACTTGGTTGTTACTCTTTTAAAATATTTTTCATAATTGAAATCTGTGTTTGGAGGCGGACTAATAAATATTTAGAATACTTCTTTATTATTCTAAGTGTCTTGGTTACCTGTGTTGTCTTTGTATTATTGGCTGCGTAACTTATGTAGAGAGTTATTTAGGGGAGTTTTAACTTTTGTTTATGTATGAAAAAACTTACTGACAAACATGGTAGTCAATAAAATCATTGAGAAATTTAAACTTGTAGAGATATTCAGTACGCTACAAGTAGTTAGTTGTCTCATTTTTTATAATTATAACGTATAAATTAATTCATTGGATTTGCTCCAAAAAAATCCATGGTCCATCTTAATGCAATTGTGCCTCTTTCTTTGATTTTCCATGAACGTTCTACTTCTTTTAGTTTTTCAGCAACAGAACAACAATTTTTAGTTTTTCTCTTACACTGCTTCAATTGAACTAATGTACCTTCAAAGGGCAAACGGCGAAATTCCTTTTTTAAATCGGTTTCAATAAAACTTACAAATCAAATAGATTTAGCTTTGTCTCTAGGCCTGCTTCAATGGTCGTAATTTTCCAATAAAAAGAATACACACCCGAGGTATGAAAGTCATTTGTTATTTTATGTTTACCGTTGTTGACGTTTTGGTATTTGTATCAATTAATACTTTTATTTCTTACTTATACATCCTAGTAATACATATTTCGTATTTTCCAGTTGTAATCTTGTTAAATATTGATTCATTAACATTTGTAAGTGTTTAAAATAGGTAGACTATAAGAGGAGTGGTTAGAATTACTAGGCAGACTATTAGTTCCATCGACCAAGCTTGTTTCTGAAGGCTTGATTGGTTTTCCAGTTGGTTTGAACTAGAACGGGACTGTAGTTGATAATTGTTGTGGGCTATGGTATACAAGTGGTTAATGCTCAGTTCCAGGTCAAACTACAAGTTTTCAGCGTATATGATCAATACATTGCAAAATGTCTCTTGTGCTATTCCATATGAATAGCAGTATATTTGTTCATAGCAATTCTATCTATTTATTCATTTTAAACATGTACAATAATGAAAGATGTTTTATATACACAAATATAAAAGTCTGCAAGTGGGAATTTTGGACGAAATAAGACCAAATTATGGACGTTTTCACATTAAAAAAACTGAGAAGTTAATAGAGCTTCTTCCAACTATATTTACTATAAAATAGTATTCACAAATCATAACTAAACTCTATCTTATTGATAAAACATTCAATGCAATTTTATTCTGCTTATTTATTCGTATTGAAGTGTAGTATTCTACCGTGATGGCTCTATTGGAATCAGCTGTAGGGATTCATAGTAAAGAAATAAACGAGATACAGTATAAGGATAAAGGAATTCTGGCTCTGAAACAATGATAGTTACATTTTTAAATCTTACCTTTTAAACCAAAACTAAATCTAAAACTTTGCTGAAAAACTAAAAAAGGTAGAACGTTTATGGAAAATCAATGAAAGAGGCACAACTATATTGAGATGGATCATTTATGGATCATGGATTTTTTGGAGCAATTCCATCGAATAAATTTATTAGTTATAATTATAAAAAATTAGACAACTAACTACTTGTAGCGTACCAAATATCTCTAAGGTAAATTTTATCTTAGTTGTGGCCGTGGAACGAGGATCATCAAGACCCTTGATCGGGTTATTAGAGTTACTTTATTGAATAGCAAACTTTACACAGCTGGTATAATATTTTTTATAATCCATGCATTTTATATTTTTGTTTCTTTTTCAGGGATGTTAGCATAAAACTGATGAGCTCAGCTGCTCGTACTCCGGTAAGTTTAAGCTATATTTGTATTGCTTAAATCTTTTGTATAAAAAAAATTACATATATGAATCTAGGTACACATTACGCACTATTTGCATCCTTATTAGGATAACTAATTTAACATTACAGTTCCCTAATCTGCCTTGTGGTCCTACCTTATCCTAAGCAATTCCGTTCTTCAACATTCTTCATTCTTTCCGTCATATTTAGATCGGTAGCTTATTTCTTAAGATATTAAAAAGATTGTGCCATGCAATGGCAGTAAGCCCTCATTTATCCGGACCAGTCTTTCGGATTAATGGAATTCTATAGGATAGAAAACGGACTTAAAATTAATGCCTGCATCCAGGGACTGTATGGGTATTCCTCGTATAACGAAATACTGTTTACAGATACAATAGTAGTACAATAGTAATTCTTTGTTTAAATTACATATTTTAGTTCACAACGTGTATCTTTTGCCACTTCTGTATTTCTTATTCTAATACAAGCACGATAGCCGCTTTGTCAGAATTTTGTGTATTATTATCAAACGAACCAGCCAGAAATTGACGCTAGAAAAAATCTAATCTTGAACGTCACATCCATAAAAAGTAAACACGTTTGTTCCCCCTAAGTCTACTAAGTATAGGATAGTTCTCTCTAAGTATAGTAAATAAACTACTTCATTGGAAGTGTACTTGCTTATTTATATATTATCTCTAATTTTTTTCAAGAGTTCTAGAATATTTGGCAATTGTTTAAGAAGCTTAGATTGTTAACATTTATTTTGACGTTATTTTGCTTGGGATAATGTGATTATCTTTGATTTTTGAAGTAAGATAATGCTATATTTTTAGCAACATTCAAACTGAAAATGACTGATTCTGTCAACCATATCCTTGTAATGGATACAGTATCTACCAGGTTACATGGCTCAGTCCGTCTTCAATATTTTAATATACAGGGTGGCTGAAAAGTAACTTGCATCCCCCCTTAACTTTTCAACCATTTGAGATATTTGAAATCTGTTTGCGGCAACCTTCTTAGACTTAGGTCGGATTTAAGGACTAATTTTTATGTGGATTTGAAAATGGGTCTTTGACCCAAAACTAATCATCCCTAGCTATATTTAAGGACTGAAGACTGACAAAGGTATGTTACCTATTACATTATTTTGACAAGAAAACACGGAAATGTTTCAAATACATATAACCTGTCTATCAAGGCATCAAGGCTAGTTTGTTAATTGTTAGCGAAAATGTTACTCATTGTTAACAAATACAACATCTCGTTTCGGATTAGATGGTGAATCTCATTCTTGCAGAGATTCAAGTTGTCAATTATGAAGAATGGTTAGCTTGTTATTGATTAGAAAAGGACGAAGTTAATATTATTTTTAGTACAGTTGTATGATGTTTATGAGCTCCAACCTCCCACATATTACCATTGAGGCATGGTATTAAAGAATAATTTGACAGATATAGAATGTGTAACACTATATGTTATTACTACAAAACGCTGGCACATTTATGGTAGTTATATATTGATGTAAATATTGTATTGTTTAAATGGTTTATTGTTCAGTTTATTTAACATTCGTCAAAAGTAAGGCGAGTGATGACCAAATGAGAGGTCGAGAGCTCCTCTCAAAGCAGCAAGTGCTGGATTAAGAGGCTCTTTAAGAGACTGATGGCCCTTTCTGAGATTTAAACCTCACTCAAGATTAAGTCGTTTTAAGAAAAAAATATTTTATTAAAAAATCCGCTATTTTATTTAAATGTGCATGTGATTAGCTAGAAATATTTTTGAGTTTTAAAACGTGTATAGATTTAAATAAGTGTATCCTTGATTTTCAGTTCAGATTCATTCCGCTTGTTTGTTTGTGTTGATCTAAAGTGTTTTATCCCTTCATCATCCCACAACTCCGGTTTTGAAAGTTTATATAGCTTATGTCTAGTATTTTTCAAATGGGAATAGTTCAGTCATTATGAAAAAGGATAATAAGCATTAAATTATCCACTTTATTATATTTTAAGAACTCTTTATATTATCTAAGTTTTCTATAGGCGTTAGAATGTTATTATTTACACTGTAGGCTACATTTTTAGGTTCATTTTACGTTTTAAGAATGTTAACAAATTCAACTGAATTGATAAGACAGTTTTTAAAACACATCATCGTTAAACACTCTACAATGTGTCCCGTAAGTAGTTACTGTACCATAAATTTAAGAATAAGCTAAATGGGCCAAAATAAAAGACATTCAAGAGTAACAACTTTTTACGTTAGCAATACAGTCGCATTAAATTTATATATTTTTTTATTAAAAAAATTAAATTTTAAAAAATGTTTTAGATATCTAAACAAAATTTTGTTAATTTTGTAAACAACTGACTGTTTGCGAAAAATAAAAATGATAATATTTTTCTTTAAAAATAGTGATAATTTCAATTGTTATAACCCAATAACTCAAAAACTGCCGTTTTAATAACAAATTTCAAGATCAACAACACATATTAAAATAAATATAAAAAACACCAAGCTTAAAAATATTGAACAATGAGATTTATGATAAATCACGATTTTTAGTTGTACAGGCCAGGCAAAATACAGTATAGTCAAGCTGGTGCGCCTCATTTTGTGCCTAAAAATCGTCACTCTTACCTATTCCTAAATGTTTTTACTTACTTACGAGACACCCTGTATATTAATTTGATTTTATTTCTGGATAAACATGTAGTACACATTTATACATGCTATAACAACAATATATGTACTGCAGTAGTTGATTCTTATAAAAGTAAATTCATTAAACCGTCAATATATTTTTTACATGTTAGACTTTCATGACGTAAGTGGTTGTTTAAGACTTTCGTTTTCTCGGAATATTTATTATCTATATTAATATTATTAATTGTCAATCCATATCAATTGTTCAAAAAATCTGTCAGTATACATAGGAGTTTCAAAAATAGGTATATTAACATAAGTTAAAGTTAGGTTTCATTTAGCTCAAAGAAATATACAAAAACACATGCACAAGTTAGTTGACAGAACATTTAAATTTTAAATTGTATCAACTAAATCCAACTCTTTGAGCTACAAAGCCTGATTTATATGATTCAAGAGTAACATAACCAAACGTCCACTTATAACGTCTGTTTATAACGTCCATCTATGACAGTATCGCTCAATAAAAATCGCTGAGTGTTCAACCATTTTGGTCACTGGTCAGGTCTAGTGTGAAACTGAAATAAACAAGATACAACATGGGTAGAAGAGGGGTGGATTTTTAAAAAAAGTTGTATTTCAAATCAGTGTTAAGCAGTTTTTTACTACGACAAAATTGGTTCTTTGTTTAAAGAGTTGACGTATGTCACGAGCTAAAAGTAAGGCTCTCAGAGCATTTTACACCAACCCCCCTCCCACTGATAGCCTAGTTTGAACATACCTTCAATTCTTACCATTATTGTAGGGAGAAATTTCGTGTAACCTATGATGAATGAGTTTTCGAATTATTTTACGGCTTTTATAGCCAACAGTCTGAGCTAGTTTGGCACCTTCAAGACCTAATAAGAAATGTCACAATGCCATTTTTACTTTTACTTTTTTTTAGTTAACAACCTACTGTAGCCCGTTAAAACTTAAATTTCGTCGAGAACATTGCGCATCAATCAGATTATAGTCACCACAATTGCTGGTGGAATGATCGACATCGACATTTAAGTTTTCTTTATTTTTTTACAGTCTTCTGTTTCTGTTATGTTCGTCAAAGAGGCCTTCGCAGTGGATTATCTTCTACTTGGTTAAGGGCCTGAACGCGAGAAACAACTGGAAAAGACCGCCTTCTTGAATGAGGGTCAAATATATTTCCTAGATTTTCTAAAGTCAAAGACTCTCATAATACGTGTATTTCTTACATTATTGTGTATTTCCTTCGTCGTGTAAAACAGCTTGACAAGAGAAGAAACCCCTTGCTTGGTTTATCAAGAACAATCACCCTAAAGGAGCTCGTCTTTTCGTCCTTCAGTAAAGGGCTGGAAAAAATAATCTCCTTCTTTCCAGTATGATGAACTCTTACCGATTCCATCTCATAGTAGTTATATAAGTCTGGAGTATTCGCTTGGCTCAAATCGCTGCCCAAACTACTTAAGAAACTGTTTGGCAGCGTCAGAGGTGTTCTCAGCGGGTGTTATTTAGTTGTTCTTATTTTGTCTGCTAATCTTTATGTCGTCGTGTTACTTTGGCTATTCATGCATCGAGAATATCTTGGAATAATAAGTAAGAGGTATAATCTAAGAAACACCTGGTCCTCTCACCCACGATCTGGCCTTCTGAATAGACTTCTCTTGTCGGAGGCACGGTTTGGTAATATCCTATTCAGGGCGGAAGGATCGGTTCTAGACGGCACACATGATTAAAAATCATCCTCTAAATTATTCAAAAACTTTCATCCGTTTCCCTAGTTGAGTGACAGTTTTGTTGTTGGTTTAGATGTTATTAGAGATGTTTCATCAATGGTGACCAGTCTTTGTATAGCAAGTATAATAGACTTAAAGCTATGATTGCAAGGTAATATATTTATGACAATAGTAAATTGAGTACAAATTTGAAGGTTTAAATTTTACCAAATATTCAAATTTGTAAATTCTTTTAAAGTGGTAAATTTTAAAATGGGCTGGATAGCTTTGAATTTTAAAAGTATCCTTCCTAGACTTTCCGGATACCAAAACATTGTATAAATGAGGCCACGTGATTCTTTCAATTCGCTTATTGGTTGTGAGGATCATTGGAATTTGGAATGGAAAATCATATGCTTTTACAATACAACATATTTTATTTTTTAAAGACATGTTTTTATACTGTATTGATCAGCTTGTGGGCTTCACTCACCTTAATTTGTTAATCCAAACTCGTCAAAATGTAACACAACGAAGACACACAACACACATACACGCAAATAAAATCTAAACAATAAAATCCAAGGACGATTTTTATGTGTGTGTATGTGTGTGTTGTGTGTCT